CCTGCCCAATGTTCCGAGAGTATCTCCACCCAGGCAGCGAGTTCCCTCAATTGAGGTACTGTCAAGTGGCACAGGTTTGCCTGCTGTCAGAGGGCTCTGCACAGCGACCTCTACACGTTCGGTCTCAGTTCGGTTTCCCCACCTCACAGTTCAGGTCAATTACAGTAGGCTGACTTACGAGGGAGCCCTCAGCTCCTGAGCTGCTTGATGATATTCACGCCCGAATTGATTCATATTTGGATCCTGATGATAATTCATGCATTTTCGGAATCCCAACAAGTGCCTCTGAAGCCGATTCTCATGGTAGAGGTTCCTGAAGCGCTGGGTGGAGTCTCTTGGAAGGGCGGCATCATGGGACCTCTAAGCCCATACGGACGCCGCAATGTTGCTACACTGCCAGTGCAACGACGTGAATATCTCCACCCGCTGGGCGTCCTCGCTTGGGGCTGGAGGGACCCGCAGGGCCTGAGGGATTTTCCTGAAAGCTTCTGGAAGGCATGGGTACAACGGAAGTTTCCTGAAGCCACTAACACCCCTTTTGACATGCTGAGGGTTTACGTTGAGGGTAGGACAAGTACGGAAGAGTAATTAGGCTTCATCAGTTTTTTGCCACCTTGCCTGCGCTTCAAGAGCTTTTGATCCACCCCTCAGTTGGGCTTCAGTCTCCTGAATTGAGGTTGGACTGGGCCAGCAGCGTCAATCCCATCCCTCAATCACACCCTGTAGCCCAAGCACAACCCAAAATAAGGGGACCCCCATATAGACCCCAAAATACTATAGTCCTTATTATAGGGACCCCCCAAAAAAGTACCCCTAATTTTGGGAAACCCCCCAAATGGGATTTGCAGGGAAAGGGGCTGAACCAGTGAGTTGCAATGCATATCCCCCGCGCGACAGGACGACCCGTGTGCGACTGCTAAAGCTTGCTGCCACTCTGTGGTCGTTCCCTAATATATATGGGACCCCAATGTATACCCCAATATAGTATAGTCCTTATCATAGAGACCCCCCAAAAGGGTAATATATTATAGTCGTTAATATAGAGACCCCCCTAAAAGGTACCCATAACAATGGGAAAGCCACTTGTTGCTTGCACAACATTGTTAGCCTCACGCAGCGCATGCTAGACTCATCTCCGGCCATTCAGTGAGGAAGGCCAGGAGGTGATATCACCAAACCATTAGGGTTATATTATATAGGGATAATGAAAAAGAAAATGGAAACTACTAATTCGGAACGATGAGCCCGTGTAAGCTTTGCAGCTTAGCCAGCCGCAGCGGCAGTTGTAGGGTTGATGTTTTCAGGGCAGGGTTAGGTAGAGTGTTTGGGCATTTATTCTTGCCAGCGGCCTCTCAATTCCCACCTTTGCGAATAAGAATTCCTTCCTTCTGGTTGTTCTTATCATTGGTAATTAATTGCGTTCAGTCTATCGTTTTTCATCTCAGGACTTTAACGGTCTTTGGGTTGAATTCCGAGTTTTAAACCCAGTTACATGTATTGTCAGCCTGAACAGAACCTGAAGCTCGAAGCCTGAAGCGGAGAACCCAACCACCTCCAAATCCCAAGCCCATCAACCTCCTACCCAAACCTGAAACCTCGAAACCCACCCTAGACCCCAAGCCTTGAAACTCAAACCCCAACCTTGGGACCTCCTAGTATCCCCCTTAATCACCTCTATAATAGTCACCTATATTATCTCCTATGTTAAGGATTACAGCACCAAGCCCTAAGCGCAAAGCTCTGCGCCCATGAAATCAAGCTTCGTGCGCCAGCAAGGTCCTGAAGTGGTGAGATTCTCAAGTTCAGAGTGATCAGCTAACCCAGCTCGCCGAAAGCTCCTGCACCAAGCATTACTGCAGCACCTAAGACTAGGACTATACCAGGGTTCTGATTGCGGGTTTACGATGATTCCCCGTGATTGAGGGGCCTTCGGCTCCCTGGGCGCTGCATCGCTGCGCACAAAGCGTAGAGGTGTTAAGGATTGTGAGACTACCCCGCCTGCAAGAGCAGCACTGCAGAAGTTAGTGCTACAGGCCTCAAGGCCAGTGGTATTCTTTGGGGTTAGTCTGATAATCATTGCTGGTGGGAAGAGCTCAAAGCAGCTGCCAGAGAAGGACAATGTGCTTTTTTGTGCATGTGTTCCGGAACCCTGACACTCCAACTAAGGTTTAGGGTTTCTAGGGTTTAGGGTTCAGGGTTTCTACATTCAAGGTTCTGCCCAACTAGGGGCAAACCTCAGGTGGGATCAATAATCGTTTGCTCTCAGTAACATGTGGTAGCTTGCACAAATAGGGGGACCTCAATAATAGAAGCCCCAATATGCTATAATCCTTATTTTTGGGATAATGGAAACTGAAATGGAAACTACTAATTTAGTATCACTAGAAGATACCTTAATATATACCCTGATATACTTTTTTTAGGTACACTTTTTTTTTTGGGGACTTCCTATGTGCACATTCTGGGTTGAGCGTCAAGGCAAAGTCCAAGCTAATGACTCATTTTTCATATGAGGAGTATTTTATACTCCTTAAAGGGGGGTATATAGGGAATTATATAGGGGACCACTATAGGGGATATTAAGGGGGATACTAGGAGTTTAGACTATAGCTCATATGACCTGCCTGGAGCTTAGGGTTTGTGTCAAGGTGGAATTGCGGGTTAGGGTTTAGGGTTTAGGGTTTAGGATTTAGGATTTAGGGTTTAGGTTTCAGGGTTTAGGTTTAGGGTTTAGGATTTAGGTTTAGGGTTTCGGGTTCTTCTGCCAACATGTCACATTAGTGATCGCAGTTTCCCACCCTCCTTCCTGGATCGTTGTTGGAGAACTTCTTCTGTGAAAGTGGTGTTTAAGAACGGCCTCAGGGATTTACGATGATTTACGGGTTGGGCAGGTAAAGGGCCAGGTAAAGGTAACATTTTTTCTTTCAATGGGGACGGCGCACGCACCCACACAAAAGCGCCTCAAGGAGGAAGATGGTGATGATATGAATTTATCTGAAATGTAGTACTTCTGAGGTCTTTTCGATTCAAAGATTCAATGTGCATACTAGTAACATTGGAGAATAGTACAGAGCATATAATGGTCATCATATGAAGGGTCCTTCATTTTGCCAAAGCAACTCAAACCAGGAGTGCTATAAGTACGGGGCCCGTAATGTGTTACTTTCTGTAAGATTTTGGAATCTGATGGGGGCCCTGTTTCATGGGCACCTCAACAATGATCCAGCAAGATTCCTGAGCCCGTCTGCTCTGGGGGATGCCTGACGTGCCAGTCCACAATTTCTTTTGGCTCTGTAGATCAACTTGGGGGTTTCCTAAAATTATGAGGGGTCCCCATAATAAGGACTATAGTATATTATGGTCTATATTGGGGTCCACTTATTCTGGGAAACTACCAAATTATTGTCGGGAATATAGGGAGAATGGAAAAGAAAATGGAAACTACTATAGTATAATGGGGTATTTAAGAGGGGTTACAATAGGGATCTGTGGCTTGCGCTGTAACACTTGTTGCCACTCATTCCAGCTCCAAATTGGAAGGCTTGTGGGCTTTTAGCCACAATTCGTGGAGCTTCCCTGGACAGCTCAGGCATCCTTACACGTGCCAGCAGGTCTGCACTAATGTCACTTTGCCACAACCAGACGTTCGCCATCAACATTTTGCTGGCGATGGAGCACATGTACCATAATGGGGATGGGTTTAGTTATTGGGCAAATGCCGTGGGAGTAGGCACCGCCCAGATACATAGCTGCAGGTATACCAATCGCAAGCACCAGTAGCCAAGAACAGAAGGAGCATGGCACTGAATGGTATGAAGTCTCTGGGAGGGGCCTGGCTAGCCCCCATGATCTACACCTTGAAAGCCAAACCCCACACCCATATGAGCTACAGTGAAAACTCCTTAAAGGGGGTTATATAGGGGGCTTAGATAGGGGACTACCATAGGGGATATTAAGGGGGATACTAGGAGTTTAGACTATAACCCCTATAACCCCCTATATAATCCCAGTTTCCATTTCATTTTCCATTTTCTTTTCCATTTGATTCTCCATTATTAAGGAGGATACTAGGAGTTTAGACTATAGCTACTATACTATAGTAGTTTCCATTTTCTTTTCCATTATCATTATCCATATATAATCCGTATATATTATAGTATCATCCCCATATGGCTCATCCCCTATAACCCCCTATATAGTCCCAGTTTCCATTTCATTTTCCATTTTCTTTTCCATTTGATTCTCCATTATAGGGGGTATTAAGCCTCATATCAACAAATGTCAGGCTGGAGCTCCTCGTATGCTTAAGTGAGTGAATCATGGGGATGCAAAGCATGAGAGCCCACCAAAAAGCGGATCCCTGAAGTTCAGCTGCAGAGCATGAGGCAATTTAGAAAAGCTATCATTCTTGAATCTTGAGGGTCGTGAGCGTTTTCAGCAGAACTTTTTTCTAAGCATTGTGGCTGTGATTTTTTCGTGTTGTTCGCAGACATGACTCAACATATGTACAGTTCCCAGTGTTGTTTATACTGTTGATGGAGGAAATCTTGCATCACTTGGGACACATAAACTACTGTAACTCCTAAGGATTGTACGACTTAAGGTGGTGCAAGATCTCCTCCATTAACAGTAGTACCTCAGTAGCAAAAGTGCTTCTAAAGGAAAACAAAGGCAAAGACTCTGACTGCAGACCTACGAGACCCATTCATCATGGCAACGTGCAAAAAACTGCCTTGCCGCTCTGGTGTCTAATTCCCTAGGAATCCATTGCTTTCATCAACACCTTTCATCTTGAGTTCAGTGCCACTTCCCACAGGTTCCGCGTTGCTGTTGGTTTTCTTGTAGTCTGAGTTGCTTGTCCGCTTTGCCATATTCTCAAGGCGGAGCTGTCAGATTAAGTTTCGCTGTTTGACTTTCTACGCAGCATGTTCAGCGCTCCACGGCGCAAGCTACGAATATGCCTGCGCTGCCCTGATCTGCCCTAATCTAGCTGAGCAGTGATGCGCTCTTGGATGCAGATTCCAGCCTTGGCCCTTGCTGCCTCCACTGCAACATGGCTACTCTTAGCACTTCTTGGGACAAGACCTGCAAGCGAACAGAGTGTTCACGAACTTTTGCCGCAGGCATCGCCCCTGGTGTCAGTCTCAACTGTACCCCTCCAATCATCAATGCGGATTGACCGCACCTCTCAGTCGCCCAAGATCAGCCTGCATGGGAGGAATTTGGTACTAGCAGGAGATTCCAACGATGAGCGCTTCTTTCGCTTCTTCTGCAGGCGCCTCACGGGCATCTTTGATTCCATACAGTACATCAGTGAGATCGTTAGTCCTCTTGCGGGCGAATATCATGGCAGGATAAGATGGCCGGGTGCTGCCCGCATCATGGCTTGCCATGATAGCGGACGAAACATCAGCGCAATTTTCCTGTTCCATCAAGGTCTCTACAGCCTTCCCCCCCAGCCCGAGTGGTATGCTGGTTTCGCCAAGCGCAGGCTGCAATCCCACTACCTGGCAGTCGAGGGCAAGCAGCGCATTATCCCAACAACAGACCAAGCGCTCTTCATTTGGCCGCAGGTCGTTCGTCAACTGCTCCCTCAAAGAGAAAACATACTGCTTTTTCAGTCTTCCATGTGGGATTCTTTTGCTGTCCTGGAGGGAATTACTGGCACACGTGTGTCACAGATGACAGAGGCTCACGAACAGATGACAGTGGCTGCCCGATTGTCCAGAAGAAATCTTACAGATTGGGGATGGCTAGACAGAGCAGCAGCATCTCTAAGCGCTTTTCGTCAAGGTTTCCAAGAGAATGGCCTTGAGGTGGCCGCCGTGCTGTGGCGTACGAATGCCAACTGTCCGCAACGCGTCAGCGAAGGCTCTGCGATTGCGATCCCGCTAAATGGCCTGTATGCCGAAGCTGTCCAAGAAGCCCGGGGCCGGTTAAACATCACCTGCACAGCTGACTTGCTCAAACATTTTGATGTTCAACGTCCAGATCAATGCGACAAGCATCATGTTACCACGCCAGGACACGAAGCATACTGGATAGCCCTGAGTGATTGCGTGCTCCTGCCAGAGATCACAGAAATCGGCCCTCCTTTCCTGCCCTTAAGCCAATTGGTGCGCAGAAGCAGCTCCTGTTACGCAAACTATTATAAGCCAGAGCTGCTTATTTTGAACGGAGCATGTCATGTATGCACTTCAGCCTTTAGCATCCGGAGATTTGTGGAGAGCTGCCACTAGATTCGATCCATGTGAACATGCTGACCGCACCCAGCCTGATGGCTCTTCATCTTCAAGCGTGAGGATCTAGGTTCACAATGTTCATTGTTCATAGAGATGCCTTCCTGGATTCTCCTGGATTCTTCCTGCTGCCACTGCTGATGCTGCTACTCCTGTTCACATGGATCTGGAACTACAAATGGCAATGTATTTGAATCTCTTCTTAGACAAAGAGAACTTCACTTTGCAGGTGTCCGGATCCCAACCAAACCGTCATGCCAAGCCTCCAAGGTGTGCTAGATAGTCCGGTTGCTGTTTCGTGCCATTCCAGCTGTGATCTTTGTTGCTTGTCCTTCTTTGTCTGCTTACTGCAGTTATCTTGTCTGCACAAGGCTAGCCACTACGGCTAGCTTGAATTCGTGCCATGGATGTGGGGCTGCATGTGCCTGTCTCCAGGCCCTCATCCATCTTACCTGGGTGGCAATATGCTGGTTGCAACAATAGTCGCAGCAGTCCTAGGAGCGAAGCAACTGCCTTCGTTTTCCGTAATGCCCCTTACATTACATAGCCTGTGATTCATAAATCCTACTACTATAATATACTATAGTATACCATAGTATACTATAGCATACTATAGTATACTATGGTATATTAGACTTCAAGACTTCCAAAAGCAAAAGATAAACTCAAGATGTTTGGCCAGGCCAGCCCCATCCGCGAGTCTGAGACATGCGCTGCAGAGCTCCAGAGCCCAGAGGCCATATGGGGGTTTCCTAAATTTGGGGTATTTTTTGGGGTCCCATAATAAGGACTGTAGTATTTTTGGGTCTATATTGGGGTACCCTTATGGTGGGAAATTACCACATATACATATATATGAGCTCTAGTCTGAAAAGCTCCTTATAGGGGGGCTTTATAGGGGACTATCTAGGGATTATTATAGGGGTTATCAAGGGGTAGACTAGGAGTTTAGACTATAGCTCATATTAGCAGCTGACATGCTTTAGGGTTTGGGGTGTAGGAGTCGGGTCTAGGACCGAGGACGCGGGACCTAAGGCCCAGACCGAAGAAATCCAGAAGCGAATAGGATCTCACCCGAAGGCAGCGCAAGATTTGCTGCGTGCAGTTTCCTTAGGGCTAGCAGGATTTATCAGTGGGGGAATGCTTGCATGGGAATTACATGAAGCTGGCCTTGGGATACATGTTTAGATGAAGGCTGATGGGATCTCCAACCGACCAGGGAGACTAAGGTCTCAGGGAATCCTTGTTCGTGGGCTTGGGCACTGATGTATACGCTTCACATCTGGAATCATGGATGATTTCGTGATTGCTGCTGACTTCTTCTTATGAGGGATCCTACGGAGCACATGTGGAGCTCTCTTCTGAGCTCGCTTGATTTGCTTCGAGAGGCCAGTGCATCTCGTGCAGCGGCCAGGCGGAGACTCTTTCCTTGTGCCCTGTGGTCCAGGTGACCGGAAACCCTCAAACGCCTGAACCCTGAACATGCAGCTTCAATCAGTGTATTGTGCAGATGTGGATCACTGTAGGGATGAGATGTATCTTCAAGGGAAGATGCTCGGGAGTAGAGAGGCTCCTGGCTACGCATCTTTTTTCAAGAAGTCTGTTTGAAGAAGCGAAACGTTACCCTGGGCTTCGTGACAGGTGCTCACACCCAAAGATACCCAAAGGCTCCCATGCATATGTTTGGCTTTTCTTGAAAGCACTCCTCCTGGAGTTAAGACAACTTGATTGAGTCTGTCTTCATTCTGCGTTGCCCACCTCGTCCTCCTCCTCTTTCTGCTGCTCCTACTTCTGTTTCCTATGCTACTACTTTCTCTTCTACTTCTACCACTCTACTGAGATGATGCTGGTGATGATGGTCGTTTATGCCACAGGTTTGACAACTCTCGTTTTCTCAGCACACCGTCATGCCATCGTCGCCGAAAGTATTGCTATGCCTGCTAGTACAACGAAATTCGATTTTAGGGCGCGGTGTTTTGTAATCTTGCAGGCTTCTCGCGTGGCCTCTCTGCCATAGCCTTTGCGGTCGACGCCTGAGCTTCGGGATTCAGAAGCTTTGCCTTCTGTTCATGCCGCCCATCTTGCCGTTGGTAACAAGTCCAGTACAGCCTGCAAGGACACCATCAGGGCACTATGGGTACTGGGTTACTGGGGTCAATTCGTTCTGTTTGGTGTGAAGGCGTCCTACAGGCGCGTTTGCTGGGACTCTTATCTACGCTCATTGCGCTGTAGACATCTTCCTCACTTCCGTTTTGGCAACTTCTCGCCTAAGGCTACAGCGTTGTAAACATCTTCGCTGATGTTTTTGTAAGTGCGAGCGCGTGTACTTTTGGATTCTCATCCGCGACCACAAATACCGTTTCGACTATCTTCATTTCTGGTTTTGTGGCCTGCAGCGCCTGTACTTGAGGATTGCTGTGTCAGAGTAGAGGGGTATCTGCATCTGTGCCCTTTCAACTGTGAGTAGTTGGTGGCTTTTTTCAGGCAAAGCTTCAGCAGAAGTTGCCATTCAAACTCCGGCAGCATGCTCTGTGTTAAATTAACAGGGAGAGATATTGCCAGCCGTGCGCGGACCTTGCGCAGCTGCGCCGCGGTGCCATAAAATGGACCAACATGGATAACGGATAATGTCCAATCAGGTTTTTGGTCCGTTTGGCCAACAAGTCACATGCAATGTCCTATGTAGCCGCACAACCTGCTTTGGAAAGCGCCTATACATTGCCTCGTTCCTGGCGCAACTTAACATGATGCTTCACGCTACTCCCGCGAGAGCATTGGGAAGCGCAAGCGCACGCGGATTGGACTGACTTAACCCCATCGCTTGTAGGGTACACGCTGAATCTGGTAGTGATAACAGGCGTGTACCATAATCTGTATCAGGATTGGTGATCTTAGCATCTTCCGTACCATACATCCATCATGACACATTGTATTGATAACAACGCAACAGCCTCCACTACCATGCCTCAGGGGCCACAGGCAAGTCCGCCAGTGTCGCCGCCACCGCCATCACCGCTGCCGCCGCCGCCACCGCC